TGCTGAGGCTGTTCTCAATTCAGAGTCAGGCATTGAGGTTCTGGTGGATTTGGGGTACATCTTTCTGGGATTACTAGAATTTTTATAATCTGGCCAGACTGATTCAGCTGCCCTTGCCTCAGAGGGAGTAATCCTGCTTATACCGTCCCTGAAGTCAGGTCCTAGCTCTCTGGTGGGAGCTGTATACATGGTCTGCCAGGATTTGGGGGAAGTCAGCTCCAGTGTGACCTTGGCTTGACTTCATCATGTTCATTAGGTCTGACCCCAGCCTCAGACTGTGATTCACTTCAACTGAGGGGAGGCTGTATTTGGTTGGCTCCACAAGCTCTGAGTGGTGGATGACAGGGGAGTGGGGAAGAAGGACTTGATTGCTGGGGTTGTCACGGTCTCATACCCCCAGGCTGACCAAGAAATGGCTGTTTCTTCTAGTACTTTCCTGCCAGGTGCCAGGAAGGTTAAGCACTGAGAGAGGTCCTGGAAAGTTCCTGAGATCCTGACTCCCCCAAATTCTCTCCCCCAGCTGCCTATCCTACCAGCCAGCTGGACTCCCAGTGCCAGTGGCCAACTAGATAGGACAAGAGAGCAGTGTGTAAGAAACAGGGTCTCCCTGGGCATGACTGGTGGGGGGGGGGGACAGGGCTGAGAGGACTTCCTGCAGCTGTCAGGTGTGTCTGGGGCCATAGTGTGTGTGTGTGGGGGGGGCCAGTGGGGGGAATATAAGAGCAGCTGGCGCCCTTTGAGGAGGGGCAGAGGGATCATTTGTCAGCTCTAGGAACATGGGGGGCCCATGGGGCTTGATGGAGTGTCTCCAGCTCCCTTTAGCTGGGGCTGTTGTTTGCTTGTGTGGGTGCTATACAAGAGCCCTTACAGCTTAGAATCCTTCAGTTTTGGGGTGGGATGTGGAGGCATATTTGTTTGTTTTTAGGGGGTTTAGTATCTTAGCCAGCTGGTCTGGAGAAGAGGCACCCTGGGTACTGTGGACAGCAGACAAGGCAACCCCAGGGGAGGAGGGTGAAGATTCCCCCCTCCCTTTGACTGGACTGTCCCCACTCTGGCAGGCTGCCGGCCTCCTATTTCCGTCGGGCACCAGGGTAACAGGGCCACATTAGGGTCTGAGCCAGGAGACACCCAGCCAAGGCTGGGGGTGGGGCGGTGGGGCACTGGTCTCTGAAGGGTCTGTCTGCAGGTTCCAGGAATGATTCTTTGGAATCCAAGCCCCCAACTCAGACTCTCTGCTAGCCTTCAGTCCCAAACAAGCCCATGTGGGGGCTGCAGCCGCTCTACATTGCTGCGTGACTGACATTGCCCCCACCCTAAAATCCCAGGAGTTGTTTGCAGCTATGGGGGTTGGGGTGGAAGCCACAGACAGGGGGCCTTGTGTATGGGGAGGCAGGGGGGCCAGCGCGGGTGGCTGGGAGGAAGAGTCCCCCATTCCCGCCGCCCTCTTGGCAGTGATTCAGAAAGGTCCTTTTTCAGTCTGTGTCAGAGCTGCTCAGCTGGGTAGGGAGGGAGGGAGGGAGGGTGGTTGGGCGGGCAGGCAGTCGGGTGGGGGAGCCAGGGAGCAGGACTGGAGCTGTGACCACTGTACTGGAGAGAAGACAGAGAAACAGGACAGAGGGCCCAGGCTGTAGCCAGCGGAGAAAAGACCTAAGCTGCTCCCTAACAGACTAGCCAGCTTGAAAACAGCCCACCCTGTTCTGCCCCATTTCCCAACCTCACATCCTGTGTGGAATCTGGGGAACTCTTGGAGCAGACCTAGACAACGTCCCTTCAGGGCAGAGTGAAATTCAGGAGCTGAGGGCCCTGCTCTCCCACTTCTCGGGTCAGAGCTCTAGTGACCCATTTGAGGGGGTCCAGCTCGTGGAGATGCCAGCAGCTCGCCGGTTCCCTGGCCTAGAGCTCTCCTTTCCTCTCCTGGCTAGACTGCGGCGGCGACTCTACACAGTGAGTGGGGGACTGGGGACAGGGGTTGGGCTGGAGGACTGGGTCAGCTCCTTGGAGCCAGTCATCTTTGAGGGCCAGAGATCAGGACTGGGACTGGCTGCAGGGCACTTCCTGTGAGAGCTTGGCAGGGTCTGGGCTAGGCAGCCTCCCCTCTGGCACTGCATTCTTCTCAGTGAGTGCATTAGGAAATTGTGGGGGAGTTGTGCGTGTCCTCCACAAGGACCACTTGCATCGCACACAGGTGTGCAGGGCTGCGCACACACACATGGCTGAAGGCTTTCTGAGCAGGAATGGTGTATGTGTGGGGGGGGGGCAGTAATTCTGTGTTTTGCCAACAGAGAAACAGGCTGGAGGGGGAGATAGAAAAGGGAGGAGACTTGTTGAGAGTCACCCTGGGCTTGGTGGTAGAGACATGACTGGAACCAGATTCCGGTGTTCTTTCTAGTTTCCTTAAATGTGTCCTTATGCCCATTCTCAGGGAGGGGAGTGTCCAGCTGAGGCAGGGAGAGTTGTTAGCGGGGAAACAACTCTTTCCCTTTAGGGAAAGGGAACAGGCTGGATTGTGCGTTCTAGTAGCATTATGGGAGGTGCAACTGCGTCTTCCCCAGCCCTGACCACCCAGGGCCTGACTTTGAGCTGTTCTTGGAGCAACCACCTAGCCTGCCCCAGAACAGGGTAGAGGCTTGAAGATTGGGGAAGAAGAGGAGCATCTTACAGACCACTTACCTGTGTGGGCTTGGAGCTATGAAGGGGGCAGGATCTTACCACTCCAGGGACAGGGTAATGAGAGTGGAAATGCTGGCTAGCCTCACCTGGCGAAGCCTAGGAGAAAGAGTGCCAAGGTCAGTGATTTTCATAGGGCACCTTGGGGGCTTTTTTCTGATAGTGGTATCCTCCCCGCTTAATGATAGTTTGCTGAACTTAACTATTAGTGCTCTTTGTACATAAAATTAATAGAAATATAGCCTGTTTACCTTGTGTTTGTGTGTAGTCAGTCAATATAATGCTACCTGTAATATAAAGGAGAGAGGAATTTTGACATTTTATGTATTCTAATAATGCATACGCTCTGACATAATGACATCAATGCCAAGGCTTCTCAGGTAGAATCACCATGAAAGCAACATTTACAAGAGCTGAGAGTGGGTTGCCTTCAGGGACATTTTTCTGAATAGTGAGCTGCTTATTACAAAGTTCTGAACAAAACAGAGACCAGTTTTAGTTTTCTCTTGGTTTACCCAGTAGTTCCATTTCCAGAAAATTTACTGTGTATTAAAACTGCAAAACTACAATCTTGTTCATTTGTAAATTTGCATTCAGTTCACCTGCGTGAATTAAGGTGTGTGGGATTTGGAACAGTGTGAGATCTTCCTGGTTGTTACAGGCTGACTCATACTTGTCCCTAGCCACCCACTATATGCCACTAGCACCCCACAACATTGTGACAACCAGCAGTGTCCCCTAGGGGGCTGTACAGCCCTTGTGAGGAACCACCCAGTAAAGGGTTACAGCTTAAAGTTTGGAAACCCCCTCTGGCCCAGCCACCTTGGCTGAAGAGTCAGGGTTTGAACTGAAGCCTTCTCATTCCCTTTTGTCACTCTCTACTGCCCTGAGCTACTTGGGAAAGTCTATAAACTCCTGGCTCTCTGTTGGCAGTACCACTGGAAGCTGTGGGGCAGGAGGCCCATGCCAGGCCCAGCTGCTGCTTCTTAGTGCAGCTTCTGATGAGTGCTGCTGGATGAGGCCACCTCTGAGTTGGGGAGTAAGAGGTCTGGGTGCAGCTGGATTTTCCCTCTTGGTCTTCTTTAGTGGGGATTGAACATGGAGTTGGGGTGCTGGCCTGCCAAGCCCTGAGCTCTGAAATGTATAGCAAAGGATGGCTTGGTGTCTGGTGATCTGTCTACTTAACTTTGAGGAATACTCCTTCTCTGGGCCCAAGAAAGTGTGGGTCAGAGGTCACTCACTAGTGGCCTGTTGGCTGATTGTGACCTGCACATCTGTGTCATTTGGCCAGCATGGTGTTTATGTGTGCGTGTGTATGTATTTCAAACTTGAATGAATTGACTTAGTTAAGCCAGAAGAACAATAAAATTTTAAGTGAAAAACAAGGAACAAAACAGTATGGGTAATGTGTGAATAGTTGTTGGCGATGGGGATTAAACAGTCTGGAAGGATATATAAAAGTCCCTAAAGGCAGCTGGCTTTGAGGATGGGGTGCTAGATGGTTATGCATTAAGGGAGGGCTTGGGATTGCATGAGACTTTATGGCTCTTGTGTGTCTTTTGAATATTACTATACTTATGTATTACCTTTTCCCAAAAAAAAAATTATGGTGAGATTTTGTATATTAAGTTGAGATTCCCAGTATTTCTTGAAAAATTAAAAGCCTTAATAACACTGGATCACTGTTTGTTGTGACAGCCATTGATGAACTGAGCAGTGCTACAGATTAGAGTCTAGAAGCACACTCCAACCGCTGCTTCCTTCTGTCTTATCCCAGTGGTAGTCCCACAGGCCCTGGAAGGTGGCCTGTGAATGGTCTTTGGACCAGAGGGAGAGGCCTCTGACATGTCAGACATTGGACGAACTTAGCCAGAGCTTAGTTCCATCAGCTCTGAGTAGCCCAGGGATGGTCTCAGGGACACTGCCTCTTCCCCAGAAAAGTTTATCAGAACTCTGAGTAAGAATGTGTGCATTTTCCTAGAGGACCATGCCGTAGTGTTTTGTTTTAGATTCTCAAAGGTAAGTTAAGAGCAGATGGGGAACCTGAAACCAGAGAGGTAGATCTCAGGCTACTCAGCCATGGAGCACAGGTTTTGGAAATTAGACCCCACTCCTGTCTCCAGGGCCTAGGCTTGTATCCCTTCCCTAATTCTGTCCTCACTGCTGGCAGGAAAGAGGACAGGAGGGTATAAGCTAATCTAACAGCTGTTTTGGGGGAGCAAGAAGTTGGTTGAAATCTCCACAGCAACACAGTAGGATATGACACTCGGGACTGGGCCCCCTGTTTCCTCCCCAAATCCCTAGGTCCTTCAGCCATTCTCCCTTCCCCACAGAGGCTGGGGAGCAGCAGCATGCAACCTGAAGAGGGCACAGGCTGGCTGCTGGAGCTGCTGTCTGAGGTGCAGCTACAGCAGTACTTCCTGCGGCTCCGAGACGACCTCAACGTTACCCGCCTGTCCCACTTTGAGTATGTCAAGAATGAAGACCTGGAGAAGATTGGCATGGGTCGGCCCGGTAGGTGGGGGTTGTTGGTCTTACTTGTCCTGTCTGCCTCCTCTATCCTCAGGACTGACTGTGTAGAGGAGCCCTCCCCGCTTAGTCCAGGAGCTGTCATAGCTGAGAGCTTGGGCTGCCTATTCTAGAGCTGGCAAGGTTGGGGGGCAGGGGGTGGGCAACATGTACTGCACATGTGCGTGCAGGAGAGAGGTTTGCACTGGTGGTTTGGGAGAGTGAAGTCTTAAAGCTCTGCTGCTCAGGATTAATCTCACATCCCTTTTTGTTTATTTAGACATGTGTAAGATGTGTTTCCTTCAGCACCTCTTGCCCTTACCATTCTGAACACCAGGGGTCTGTGTGAGAAGGGAGGATGCAAGCCCTTGGATGGTTTGCTAGCTTTTGCTTTGTGTGTGTGTCTCTCTCACAAAGGTTTACTGTAAGTTGACCTTACACTTTTTTTTGTTTTTAAGATTTACTTATTTATGCATATAAGAAGTGAGGTGTAGGCCGGAGTTGCAGGAGGTGAGAGGATTCACCAGACAGAGAGGGGAGCAGAACAGGCAGATCTACTGAGATACACTGCTGACGGAAGCAGTGGGCGAAATAGGAGAGGGCTTCTGCACCGTGTGGATCAGCTCCCTGCCCGGTACTGATCTCCTGATGCAGTTGCTGCCCATAGTTGATAGCGTTGATCTTTAACCCCTGTACCACCAGGGAAGCCCTGGCCTTTCACTTTTCTATATATTTATCCTAAAAGTAGTAGTTGCACATCTTGAAATCGTGGTATTCCTTGTAGAACATTAGAAAGTTATGTGCATATTCAACTTAAAATAGATAAATAGGTAATAATGTGCCAGACACTTATACTTTAGTTGGTATCTGATGCTAGTAACATAATAAAACTTAGTGAGAGAAGAACTTAAAATCAGGATAGTTCTATTAACATTGATTCTTTATTTCCTTGGAGTGAGAAAAGAGCCTCATGTTTTGATTGTTACACACCTTCATCCAGTTTCTACTGCCTAGAAGCTTGATTCAGAGACCGTGTGGTTAGTGGAGACCCCCTGATTCCTTGACATCAGTGTGCTCGGCAGTATCCAGTGTTGGGTTCCCCACTCCAGGGGGATGGAGGAAGCCTTTGCTAGGTGCATTCATTCTGGGATACATCAGACACCTTATCAGCACCTGGTTCCTCTTCCCTTCTTGCAGGCCAGCGGAGACTGTGGGAAGCTGTGAAGAGGAGAAAGGCCATGTGCAAACGCAAATCCTGGATGAGCAAGGTCAGTGGATGAGGACTAAGATGGGGCAGTCTCAAGGGGCCCCAATCTGATGTCAGTTCTAGAAAAAGTACCCCTTTTCCAGGCAGGTGTAATCTTGCACTTTGTACAGACCTTCTTCCTCCAGGGTCTTATCAGGCAGGGTGCTTGAAGAGCTGCCTGGCTAAGTGGCTATCTCCGCCAGAGACGGCACGTGAGAAGCCTGTGTGCAGTGTGGAAGAGGCACTCGTTGACAAGTGCTCCGTAACTTGAGCCCTTGCTCTGTCTGGATGTTAGGGCCAGTGTCCAGCATGGTTTGTTGGGGACAGTCTGGACCTAGGACATTCTTGCTTTGCTTCTCTCCTCCCCCACCCTCTCTGGTCTGGGGAGAGTTTCTTTAGTCATCTGGTGTTGCTAACAGCTTCCTTCCCCACAGCTTGCTGCCCCTCCCATTGCCCTAATTTGGGTCTGTGGAGTGGTGAGTCCCAGTTCTGACTCAGTGGAACTTTGCCCATTGTCTGGAAGACAATGAGAGAGGAAATGAACCAGCCAGAGCCTTCCCTCCTGACTCTGGCCTGGGAGGATAGGGGGCAGGCAGGGCCAAACAGCTGGCCTGGGATTGGGCAGCAGAGATTTCCTCGTTGCAATCTGGCAGAGGGGCTGTCTCTTGGGATCCTGTGGCCTTTTCTAGGGACATTGACCTGGCCCCTTGCCCAGCTTTTAGGAAAAGACGAGTGTGTTGGGATCAAGACAGGAGGGAAGAGCTGTGTGGTGTGCCATTTCAGGGGTCTTGATCTACTGTTGATTTGCAGGAGGCCCCGGTGTGGTCTGTGATCCTCTCCAGACTCTCACCGTGTCTTTAGTGAAATTGTACTGTCCACACTTGTCCACTCACCTACAGGGCTGTGGGGAGGGTCCCTTGAGATAAAGTCTGTGAAAAGCCTTGCCAGCTGACCACTACTTGCAGATGTTAGGGATTCCAGTTACTGGGAGAAAGGATGAGCAGCTGCCAGAAGAGGCCCTCACATTGGAGACAGACACTGCCCCATATAGACAAGACTGTCAGTCTTTCAGGGTAGAGACCCAGCTGGGCAGAGTTTGCAGCCTGAAGCCAAGGCTTTGGATACCCCAGTGAAGCGGCCAACTGAGATCTGAGATTTATAAGGCCAGCTCTAACTTTCAGGAATCCTTGCTCCTGTCCCCTGAGCTTTTTGGCTTTCCCCTCTCCAACCCAGGCTGCAGATTTTTCTCTAGTCTTCCTTCTTTCTCAGCCCTCAGCTCTAGGCACCCCTCCAAAAGTCCAGCTGTCTTCCCAGGCCCTTCCTCAGCAAGGCCTTGCACACACACACTACAGACCAACCTTCAGCTCAAATTATCCTCTCCCCTGGCAGGATGAAGGGCAGCCGACTCCATGGGGAGGGTGGAGACAGACAGCGCCAAATGGGCAACCTAGAGAAGGGGCCAGGGCTAAAAATGGACAGGGAGGTGTTTGTGGAGGGCCTCTGAGGCTCCTTCCCATTTGCTTGGGTTATGGGATAGTGTCTGTGAGGCAGGGGCTACAGGAGGGGAGGGTCTGGGCACAAGAGAGTGCCTGCACTGGCTTTGGGCTGTCCCCACAGCTGGGTGTGGTGCCACAGCAGCCACAGACAGCTTGCCTGTTTGTTTCAGGCATGTACCTTGATAACCACACTCAGGCCTGTGGGTTCTTTTTTAGGGGTGAGATTTGGAGGGGCTGTGCCCTCCAGCCAGGCGACCCCCTTTCTGGCAGCTTAACAAAGCCAGGTCCTCTCTGAAGGCCTAACTGAGGACCCAGTGGGATAAAACTGAGTAACTAACTCTGGGGCCTCAGGTTTCCATCTGGCCCCCAACTCCCTCCAAACAGGTGTTCAGTGGAAAGCGTCTAGAAGCTGAGTTCCCCCCTCATCACTCTCAAAGCACCTTCCGGAAGACCTCACCTACCCCAGGGGGCCCAACAGGAGAGGGGCCCCTGCAGAGCCTCACCTGCCTCATCGGGGAGAAAGACCTGCATCTCTTCGAGAAATTGGGAGATGGCTCCTTTGGCGTGGTGCGCAGGGGAGAGTGGGATGCCCCCTCGGGGAAGACGGTGAGCTTTCTCAGTCCTGTGGGGTGTGGCGGAGGGGCCGGCCCCTAAGAGACTGTGGCAGAGGCCCCACTCTGTCCTGTGAGGTGGAGCCTTCCTCACTGCTAGATGTGAGTGGGGCAGGTCATAGACTGCCTCAGCCTGGAGCTGTGCTCTAGTTTGCCAGAAGGAGAGTTCTGCTGCGCCGTGTGGGTCACCACCCTGGCTTGGGATCCAACTCTTACTGCAGTGGCTGAGGACAGCTACATAGTGCTGCACCACCAGGGAGACACCTATCAGTTCATTTTTTAGCATAATATTTAAGGTATTCTACGCCAGAAGCATTTTTAATATTCCATTTTATCATATGATTTTAATATTCTGTCATCATGGTGGAAGGTAAGGTGCAGTGGATGACCCCTGGCAGTCAGCCAGCTGCGCTTGCAAAGCCAGTTCTCAGGCACTCGTGAGCGATCACCTTCTCAAGTGAGCAGATCTGAGGCAGATGTTTGAACTGAGTTGAAGGGAGGAGTATCTTGGCGCAGACAGTTGCCTGGGGCCTGATTTCCCACAATCTACTCTCTGGGCAGGTGAGTGTAGCTGTGAAGTGCCTAAAGCCAGATGTATTGAGCCAGCCAGAAGCCATGGACGACTTCATCCGGGAGGTCAACGCCATGCACTCGCTTGACCACCGAAACCTCATTCGACTTTATGGTGTGGTGCTCACTCCTCCCATGAAGATGGTGAGCGCTATGGACAGGAGGGGAGTGGGCACAGGGAGGGGCCTGTCGTCTCTTGGTCTCCCCCTCCTCTAGCCTGTGCTTTGGCTACTCCTGCCCATCCTGATGAAGGTCACAGGTGTCCCCACCCGGTGTGCAGAGGGGGTCGTGGGGAGCTGACCCAGTACTGACTGTGTCCCCTGGAACCCATGTTCATCTCTGCATTTTTTCTGTGCTCATTAGCAGGGATTTGCACACATGGGAGGGGCAAATCTTAGGGTTTAGCTTTTGGAATTTCGAACTTGAGCCTCTCAGGGCAGCTTCTCTTTAGATCTTAACTTCCTACATTGCCTGAAGGGAGAGGCTTGGGAAGCTGTTGGACTTCTAGAGGTCCTGGGAGGGCAGGCCAGGCAGGAACATAGAAGTGTGGCTGTGGCAGGCCTTCGGAAGAAGAACGGGGAGCCCGGTTGGGGTGCTGCGAAAGGACAGGGCTCAGCTGTGCTTACTCTCCCTACCTCCTCCATGGTCTCAGGTGACAGAGCTGGCACCTCTGGGATCACTGTTGGACCGGCTGCGCAAGCACCAGGGCCATTTCCTCCTGGGCACTCTGAGCCGCTATGCCGTGCAGGTGGCTGAGGGCATGGGCTACCTGGAGTCCAAGCGCTTTATTCACCGTGATCTAGCTGCCCGGAATCTGCTGTTGGCCACCCGCGACCTGGTCAAGATTGGGGACTTTGGGCTGATGCGTGCACTACCCCAGAATGATGACCACTACGTCATGCAGGAGCATCGCAAGGTGCCCTTTGCCTGGTGAGGGGCAGGGGCTGCCAGCTCACAGGGTCTGGGTCACACCCTGACACTGCACACTCAGACCTCAGATCTTCTGGGCCCTCCTGTTCCCGCCCCAGCCCTTGACTCTGCCTGCCCTTCTTGTGTGGCCGTGCATTCTCTCACCCCTCCTCATTTCTTGAGAACCCATGTACAAGATACTGGAACGCACGATGCTTTGGGGACTCACAGAAGGGCACATTACTTGGTGGATATTTAAAGGCTTGCTGGAGGACTGTATATCAGACTTCTGAAATATCCTAAGTTAGCCATCCAAAGACTGTAGTGGGTAATGACGTTCCAGGTAGAGTGAGTGTCAGGCAGGGCCAGGAGAGGCTGGACCTTGTAGACTGACCAGCCTGCTCACTGGTGCTATGGGGTGGTGCTGGGCCCTGCCATTGTGTGAGCATGTCCTGTACTGAGGCCACTGTGATCCTTCCAAGCCAGAGGCACCCCAGAGGTATGGTCTCTTTCCTTTAGGGGTGGGAGGACTTGGTCCATTTCTGCTTGCCAGCGCTATGGCTGTGGGAAACCCTTATAATCCAGGATGTGTGGGCACCCTGGTTAATAACTTTTATGTAGAGCACCATACATCCTGGATTATGCCTGTTGTCCTAGAATGATTGGTTAGCATACCCTTTTGTACTCAAGCCTCCTGGTTTGAGTGGTAAATTACAAGGACACCTTTAAAAAAAAAAACAGCCCCCGAATACAATCCTGTGTAGCAGGTTACTGCTACTTCCATCTCCAGCATAGTAAGCAAAAGGCTTAGAGATTTTGAGTGACTTTCTCGGGTTTCCACCCCTTTGAGTGGCTGAGCCAGCTCTCTCATCCCAGGACAGAGCTTTGGACTATCCACCCAAGGCACCTTCCTTCACTCTGTTCCTCAGTTCACCCTGGTATAGCCCCTTTGCTAATTTCCCTGCAGTAGTGTTCCACTTCCTCACCCATGGAGCTCCAGAGGGACTGTGGGGGTTATTTGAGTGAAGCCAGTGTGACTGCTTCCCCCCATTTTGGTTCTTCCCCAGGCCCTCTCCAAATTTCCCACCTACACCTTCCTGCTGAAATGACCCAAATCCCAGTATCCCGCCCAAAATCTGGAAATTGTCATCCTCCCACCACAGTTAGAAAACAGCTGAGATCTATCCCTCTCCCCACCCACTTGCTCCCTCTTGGAGTCTCCTACCATCCCTGACCTGGGAACCTCACCCACCCTCTTCCCAGCCCAGGCTGCATGTGAGTAAAGAGCTAAGCAAGGTGATTTTCTTCAGTTCTGTGCACCCATAGTCAAGAGGCTCCTGTATCTACCTTTGTGCCTACACGTGGGTCATCGTGCTTGTTGAAGAAATGGGGTGCTCTGAGAGGCCTTCTGTTTAACCCTTGTCTCTACCAGGTGTGCCCCTGAGAGCCTGAAGACACGTACCTTCTCCCATGCCAGTGACACCTGGATGTTTGGAGTAACATTATGGGAGATGTTCACCTATGGCCAGGAGCCCTGGATTGGCCTCAATGGCAGTCAGGTGAGGAGGCCAGGGGACAAGTTCCCAACAGGGTGGTCAGTTTGATCTCTAGTTTGCCTCCTGGCCTTGTTGGAATTGATTTCCTGCTGGGTTCCTGTCCCCAGCCCTTTTGTCTGTATGGTCTTCCTGACAGCAGAGCACAGGGAAGGGTCCCCGGTGATCAGGAGAGTGACAGACTGGGGCTTGCTCACACTCTTAACTCTCACCCTGTCTGCCTACCTGGGGTCCTGTCAGACCTTTGGGGTACAGGCATGGTGCCCTACAGCTCCAGTTGTTCCATGGACTAGGGGCAAGGTGGGAAGAGAAGAGCTGGGTGCTTTTCTTGTCCTGAAATTGCACCATCACATGACCAGATCCTACATAAGATTGACAAGGAGGGTGAGCGCCTGCCCCGGCCTGAGGACTGTCCCCAGGATATCTACAATGTCATGGTCCAGTGCTGGGCTCACAAGCCTGAAGACAGGCCCACCTTCGTGGCCCTGCGGGACTTCCTGCTGGAGGTGAGCGCAGGTCTACCATGGGCAGGGGTATCAGAGCCAGCTTGCTTTCAGGGTGGGCAGTGACCTGTGTCTGCCCCCAGGCCCAGCCCACTGACATGCGGGCCCTTCAAGACTTTGAGGAACCAGACAAGCTGCACATCCAGATGAACGATGTCATCACTGTCATTGAGGGGAGGTAGGACCTGGGGAGGGGCTGTCTACACTACACTGCCTGGAAGGGCACAGGGAGGAAGGGGCATGTGGGCGAGTTTTCTTCTGCCTGCGAGGCTCCCTCCTGTGTGGTGAGAGGAGTGGATTGGCTTGGGTCTGCCTCTTGAGTGCTTCAGGATAAGTTTGCAGCTGCTGCTGCTCAGAGGGGATTTTCCTTCCCTGGCTCTGCCTCTGAAACCCTTTTTCTACTGGGCTCTGGCTCTGGCTGTGTGGGTCGTTAAGGCCAGGCAGCGTAGGAAGTGGTTCAGCCTGGCCTCAGGGCCGTAACTGGGGACTCTGGAACTCCTGAACAGTCCTCCACTAATCCTCTGCCTCCCCTTCCGTCTACCTCCTTCCAGGATAAGAACTCTTGACTCTCCACCTGGGTGCCTTTCACAATCCCAAAGCAGCCCCACCTTCTTCCTGGATGCCCCTGTTCTCCTGACGGGCCCCACAGCTCCCTCCCAGAGTTCCTGTCTATCCTCCATCTGGGCTTCTCCCCCTGGCCCTTGGTGCCAGTCTCCCTTCACAGGGCCCTCTAGTCCAGACCCTTCCACCCCACCCCCACTCCAGTACTCCCTCAGGCAACATCTCCTGAGTGGTGTTTCCTACCTGCTGTCCCCCCCACTCCCAGTTCAGAACTGGGGCCCCAGTTCAGTCTGACTGCTAGAGGCCCCACCCGCCACCCTCCCTGCCTGATCTGATCTGCAGGGTGTCTGAGGAGAACAGGTTGGGTCAGGGCAGGCTTCAGGTAGCTTTGGGGTAGGGCTGAGCTTGGAGGGCCCCCGAAAGGGAGCCAAGCAAAGAAAATGCTGAGCTCCTAGATCCTCTGATTCAGTCAGGCGGGCACGAGGGGCAGCAGTTGTTCCCTACAGTCTTTTCTACCTGAACTTCAGGTTTGGGAAACTGGGAGGTTGATGGCCTCAGGTGATAGAATTGCCCTGGAATCCTGGCGCCCAGGCTGCTGTGGAAGAACTGATGTGTTTCCACTATGGCCCTAGCACTTCTCCCCCAGCCTGGGCTCCCTTTACATTTGGGCCCTGTATATGGAATTAAGGCTGATTTACTAACGAGTTGTGGATGGGGGAGAGGCTTGGGGAATTAGTGGTAGTTGACCAAAGCAGAGAGCTTGTAGCGAGGCCTGACATACAGAAAGGCTATATAGTCTGTGAATTTGGAGCTGAGGGCCAGTGAGGGGCTTGAGGCATGGCGCTCTGGGAAACATTTTGGAAACAGGAAGATTAGGGTGAGTGCCTTTCTGGATTGTATGGCAGGGTGTTGAGCCAGAATTTGGGGTCTGCAGCCTTCCACCTCCAGGAGCCAGTCTTGAACCTGACGCCTCCTGTGCTCTGTAACCCACGCTTCACTTGCTTTCAGTGGGGGCCTGTGTTCCCTGGGGGTCCTGAGTTGCTTCATGTGTTTCTGGGCTGTGTGTCTCTGAAACTGGCACCTGGGGTCACCCCAGAAGTTAGGGAGGCAATGGGAGGAGCCCCTCTTCCTGGGAGGCCACTACTGTAGGCATGCCTTGTCCTGCGCTCTGTCAGAGTCTCCCCTTGGCTCCACTGCCAGCTCTGCCACTGCCTGCCAGTGTGGGCCTACTGGGCCCCTCCTCCAGGGCCACCAGCCTGACTTGGACCACAGCACCTACCCTCCCTCGGTGCCTGGAGCTGCTCAGGAGGTGGGAGGTGAGGGGTAGGAGGCCTCAACAGCCGGTGAGGCTTTGGGAGTGGGCCTGTGTGTCGGTGGTACCAGAGCTTTGACTGCCCCCTTGTTCTTTAGTCCCTGAATATCTCTGTTTGTTTGGCAGACTGTCTCCATGTCTCCAGTGGGTGGGTTCTCTGTTTCTGCCCCTTTGGGTTTGGCTTTGTCGCGTGGGTCTCTCTTTCTCTGGCTCCCTCTTCGCCTCTCCACTCGCTCCATATCTGTGCCCTCCCATTGGCCTTGTATTCCGTCTTCCTGACACTCTCTGCTGTTTATTTCTTGGTCCAGAATCTGCTTCCTGCCCACCCCCCAGACCCTCAGAGCTATGCTTCTGTAGGCTCAGCGCTTTGCAAGGTGTCAGGTAGTAGGCAGAGAGAGGACACCCAGGTGTGCTGTGAGCTGCACTTGCAAAGCTCTGTCTAGACTGAGGAACCAATGATGGCTTGTCTTCCAGAAGGTCTTATCTGAAGACTGGGAAGGCTGGCAGCATATTTACATTTTGATAGAACTGGAGGAGGGGACAGATGTTTTAGAATCCATCTGTGGGTCCTTAGCCTGGTTCTTGGAACCTCTGCTTCCTGTGGTAGGTGGAGAAGGGGACTCTAGGATCTGGATTGTAAGGCCAGGGCCTGCCTGAGTCCCCTAGAGAAATGAAGGTGGGTTGGTGTTTTGAGCAGAATGTTTAAGTGATATTTGTCAGCCATTTTCAGGCCTACCTATGGCCAGTACTGAGACAGCTGGGATTTCTAGAGGCTGGTCCTCATAGAGCTGGGCAGTCCTAGGCAGAGCTCAGCTTCCCAGGCACTACTTCTGGCCTGCCTTTCCCAGGGCACTGGCAGGCAGCAGGAGACAGCAAATTTGTTCTGGAGGTGCTGGACTTTGACACCCCACCCTTTGGCTGCAGACTGGATAGCAGGCCTGCCTCCCCTTACTTTGAGACTGGCCTGTCCACTGAGGGAGAAGAGAGGTTGTGGCCAGCGCAAGTGCTGTTTCTGAGTGTGTTTGGGATGCATTTTCAAAGGAAGCCTCTTCTCTTTCTTCGTCATAGTCCCACTCTGATTCTGCCTCCCCAGTATCACAGCTGTTTTGAGCCATTGAGGGATTTCTTGCCTCAGGCCACTGCTGTGATAACAGCGAGTGGGCTTGGTGTCTCCCCACTCTCAGGAGTGGGGCCTCGGGAGGCTCCTGTAAGAGGATCTTGGCTGTGCTGACAACAGGGAAGGCGTTAAGGAGTGAGCCGCAGTCCCGTGTTGTGCAGAGTCCACACGGGAGGGCATAGTTAGGGGGCAGACCCAGCCCCGGGCTCCCAGCTACATCTCCACCTCCACTACAGCTCTCAGCCAGGGTGAGTGCCTGAAAGTGAGTGCAGGGACCGGTGTCTGCCCCGGGGCTGGTATCTGGCAGTGAACCCAGGGAGTCAGTAGGTGTTGGGGGGAGAGGAGCAGCAGGGTGTCCCGTGCTAGGGTTCACCCAGCTTTATGGGCGGCTCTCAGCCTCTCAGCCAGCCCTGGCCGTGTGTGGGGGAGCTGTTTCTCTCCTTGAAATGGCCATGCTATTTTCAGATGGGCTTGGTTTCTTCCAGGGGTGTTGTCCTCTCTTCTTCCTTCCTTTCCTGCCCTTCCCACCCAGAGGGCAGGGTGGTAATCACAGGGTTGCTCTGTCTGGTGGTGGGCTGGTCAGCAGCCTTGTTTACAAGGAGGCGAGGCTCCCACCCCTCCCCCACCCCACCTCAGCTCCCTGAGGACTGCTGTCCCTGTGCGTCCTGCTCTCTGAGAAGGAGCTGTGTGGGGCTCATGCTGCCCTAGCAGGCTGCATTACCGAATGGAGCGGGGACCAGGTGCGCAGGCCGTGCCCGCCTCCTCTGCCTCCTTCCACCCCTCCAGGTGGCTGCAGTCTGGAGGAGACCTGTCCTTGCACTCTCGGTGGGGGCAGGTGATGTGAAGGCGGGGGCTGACCGAGCGTGCAGCCTGGTGCCTCGGTGTGTCCCCATCGCAGCAGGGAGCTCTCACCGTCTCTGCCTTAATGTAGATCTGCTTGTGTGTGATGTCAGGTATGAGTGATCCAGCGGCAGATGAGGAGCCCGTGGCCTTGTGGAGATTTTTGGCATTCGCAGTATCCAGGATGCCTTTCTCTTGCGTCCCCCATTCCCTGCGCCCTGGCTTATACTGTGCCAGCAATGGTTTCATGTCTGAAGCCAAGTGAGAGACTGGTGGTCTGACAGTCCAGCCCCACTGGAAGGCTGGGTTCCCTCTGTGCCGCTTACTTTATATGACAGTAACACTGCCTCCCAGGACATGGGTGGGGACGAGGGTGAGGACCCCTCGGCACTGCTAGGAGGTGGCAGAAGACACTGGAACTATGAAAGTGGTGATGAGAAGACGCAGGCTGCTCCCAAGTGCATGCAAGACTGCGTGCAGGTGGTGGGCTGTGTTGGAGTGCTTGACCCTGTGCCTTTGGCCAAGGCACACGGTGCTTTCATGGGTCCGGGAGCTCACCACTCCTGGAACTGGCCTGGAGTGTGAAACCCCGTGGCCAAGAGGCTTGGAGCCTCCCTTGCCCAGGGAGAAAGGAGGTGAGGTAGTATTGTAAGAAGATGCAAACTTTGTGGCTCTAACAACTGGATTTAAATCTTGGGTCTGCTGTGATCTTTCTGGTAATTTTGGCAAGGCATGTCACTTGTTTGAGCCTGTTTCCTTATTTGTAAACTGTAAGGAAAGCTGTGTAACCCACCTAGGTAGCTTACGTTAAGGCTGTGTGCACAACTGGGCCTTGTTTAGGGGGAAGGGCAGGTCATGGAGCTGTTGGAAGGAAGTGAACTGATGACAGCACACCCTGGTGGGGCCCTAGTCCTGATGTTCCCTCCTGCCAGGCTAGCCAGATATAATGGATAAAAGGAGAGCTTGGCTTGTAAAGGGTCCCTTTCCCTTGGGCCGTCCCACCACGCCCTTGTGTTCACCATGTCATCTCTGTTGGGCAGGGCTGAGAATTACTGGTGGCGCGGACAGAACACACGGACACTGTGTGTCGGGCCCTTCCCTCGCAACGTGGTGACTTCCGTGGCTGGCCTCTCAGCTCAGGACATCAGCCAGCCCTTGCAGAATAGCTTCATCCACACGGGGCATGGCGACAGCGACCCCCGCCACTGCTGGGGCTTCCCCGACAAGATTGACGAGTGAGTACCATAGGGCCCTGTCTAGGCGCACGGCTCCCAGGGCCCTGCCCGACACTGTGGGGCAGAGGGTCTCCTGCTGCCCGGCAACTTTTCATTACAGGCAAACTTGGGGTAGGAACTACAAAGGGTTCACCTGCACTCCCACTTGGTGGACTTAGCTATAAGCCCTCTGTGCTCCCACCCAACCCCTTGGCACACTGGCTTTGGAAAATGGAATGGGGCGTAGCCTTCAGACACAGCCTAATAGAACTGCTCGAATGCGCAGGCCTGAGTGGAAGGGAGCTGTGTTCTCAGACTAGAGGAGCAAGGCATGGAAACTACCCCTGTGGGGATATTTCAAAAGGCAGCAGTTCAGCTGCCTTCCTCCACCTGCTCACCCTGAACTTGGGAGGGGCCTTCCATCTCCTTTAAGTAAAAGGATGCAGTCTTTTGGGGGGCATCTGGGGTAGACACAGAGGAGCGGCATGAGTTCCCCTGGATGCCCTAGCCTGACAGCGCCACACTTCAGGCACCCTGGCCTCTCTGCTGGCCCCGAGGGGCTTCCAGCAGTTGTTTTCAGCAGCCCTTTCTTCTCCGACAGGTTTCTGCTCTGAGGCCTGGTAAAACAGGCCGTTAAATATGCGTGCCATCCCCCAGTCCCCCAAGCAGAACTCTAAGGTCTGGGACAGCCCCCAGTCTCTTGCATCCAGGAGCGGAGCTGAGGGCCTGAGAGAGTTGGGGCCAGGGAGTGCAGACGCCCTCCAGGAGGGGCCCGGTGCCCTGCGCCCTGCCCCCGTGCACTGCGACCAGCCCAGCCCCATTCCTCCAGGCTTTACTCAGCCTGGTGACTAAATCCCAGATCTCAACAGTCAGCACAGGGGTTGAAGGTGAATGGAGAGCAGGGCAGACATCCTAGGCCCTACTCCACCTCCTGGCAATGGAGTACAAGGATTCCTTCTGCCTCCCTTGACCTGGAGAGAGTAATTTGGCTGCCGCTGCTTGGTAGGAGAGAAGAGAATGTGCCAGCAGATGACCGGGTGTGGGTTGAGGTGCTGTGAGGGCCAGCTTTGCCCTTCTAGGGTTTTCTTGTGGCCTCCGTAGTCCTAGTCTTTCAACCTGTGGTCAGGAGTTCTCTCTCTGCCCCCCATGACATCCTCCTGTGCTCACGGCTCAGCGCTTCACAAGGGAGCTACAGGGACTCAGACCCACGCCCACCGGGGTCTTAGATGAGAGGGTGCCCCAGTGAGGTTTCTGTCTTCTGCCGACCCCAGGAGACATCCCAACATCTCCAGAGCTTTCCTTGCTGCCCCTATTGCTTGTCCTCCCCCTGCATGTTCTGACCTGGCTCTGTCTCCACAGGTTGTATCTGGGAAACCCCATGGACCCTCCTGACCTGCTGAGCGTGGAGCTGAGCACTTCCCGACCCACCCTGCATCTTGGAAGGGTGAAAAGTAAGAGCCCAGCCCCCAGGTGTCCTCTTAGTCATCCGCTTCCCAGAAGGACACTGTCCTCTCCCTGAGCCAGCTGTTCCGGCTCTGGGATGGTTAGGTCAGGGCCACGGGGACAGCTGTGTGCTGGGCGTGGGGTGGATGGGGGCAGCTGTATCCGCCGCGGTGGGCCTCCCTGGGCGGTCGGTCCATGGTAGCCTGACCGCCTCGGCTTCCCTCCTCCCTCCTTCCCCCATGCTCGGATCCTGCCATCCTCACTCTCCCTAATCCTGCCCTCCTCTGCCAAGCCAAGCCGCCCCCCGGGCTTCATCTCGGCCAGGAGCCTCATCCATCTCCCGGATCTGTGCTGTGTTCCGGAACACGGTTTCCCCATCCTGCCGCCCCATTGCTTCCCATGTGCTGTGGGGTTTGCTCATTCACTCGCCCCTCTTCCCTGCTCTCTCTCTCCCCCGCCCCACACTGCCCTCCTGTCTGACTGTCTTCACTTCCCGTCCTGTGTCTTCTGCTCTCCGCTCTCCGCATGGCCTTCCTCGCAGGGGAGCCTCCACCTCGCCCGCCTCAGCCTGCCATCTTCACGCAGAGTAAGTGGAGCTGCTCTCGACGCCATGGCCCCTGCCTCCGCTCCCTGTCTCCTCTCTTTTCTCCTCTCCGGGAAGGTACCGAGCCCCGTGGGCTGTCGGGTGGGAAGGGAGGCGGTGTGTGCTGTGAGCTTCTTGCTGCTGACTCGGCCCAGCATGCCTGCCTCTCCCCCCACCCCAAGGGCCTGGGCCCCTGGAGCAGATGTGCGGTCCTGGTGCCCACTCTGCCTCTCTCCCCTCGCCTGGCTCTGCCACGCTCCCTGAGGGACCCGCACACTCTGCGCCCGTGGCTCCTGCCCCTCTGACAGCGAGGGACTGCCCCTGCCCCCTGCTGCACTAACTGTGATGTGGCGGGGGTGCAGTAGGGGTTACTAACCAGGCCCAGGGCTATTTGGGTTCTTGTATTGATGAAGGGGTGTGGGGTGTTGCTTACTCTAGCTGAGATGGAGACAGGATGAGCCAGCCTGTGTGGAGGGCCAGACAGTGCCCTGAGTAAGTTCTGGAGCAGACCTGTGGGGAGTTGGTCTGGAGCTCGGTGGGACAGATGCTTGTTTTTGTCCATTTCCGTGAATCAGCTTGACACTGCTTCTCTGTTGCGGTTTCCCCTGCATCGCAGAACCAACGTACGACCCTGTGAGTGAGGATCAAGACCCCTTGTCCAGTGACTTCAAGAGGCTGGGTCTGCGGAAGCCCAGCCTGCCCCGGGGGCTGTGGCTCGCGAAGCCCTCCGCCCGGGTTCCAGGCACCAAGGCCGGCCGGGGCGCTGTGGGCGAAGTCACCCTCATCGACTTCGGGGAGGAGCCTGTGGTCCTGGCCCCGCGGCCCTCTGCACCCTCGCTGGCACAGCTGGCCATGGATGCCTGCTCCTTGCTGGACAAGACCCCTCCGCAGAGCCCCACGCGGGCACTGCCCCGGCCCCTGCACCCCACGCCCGTGGTGGATTGGGATGCACGTCCACTGCCCCCGCCTCCTGCCTATGACGATGTGGCCCAGGATGAGGACGACTTTGAGGTGTGCTCCATCAACAGCACCCTCGTGGGCGCAGGAGTCTCTGCGGGGCACAGCCAGGGCGAGACCAATTACGCCTTTGTGCCTGAACAGGCACAGCGCCTCCTCCCGCTGGAGGACAACCTGTTCCTCCCGCCCCAGGGAGGGAGCAAGCCCCCCGACTCGGCGCAGACCGCGGAGATCTTCCAGGCGCTGCAGCAGGAGTGCATGCGGCAGCTTCAGGTCCCTGCTGGTTCTCTGGCTCCCTCGCCCAGCCCAGTGGGTGACGACAGACCCCAGGTGCCGCCCCGAGTGCCCATCCCGCCCCGCCCCACACGCCCACGTGGTGAGCTGTCTCCAGCCCCCTCAGGTGAGGAGGAGACGGCACGATGGCCCGGGCCTGCCTCCCCTCCCCGGGTGCCGCCCCGGGAGCCCTTGTCCCCTCAAGGCTCGAGGACCCCCAGCCCCTTGGTGCCTCCTGGCAGCTCCCCGCTGCCACATCGACTCTCAAGCTCGCCTGGGAAGACCATGCCCACCACCCAGAGCTTTGCATCAGACCCCAAGTACGCCACCCCCCAGGTGATCCAGGCGCCTGGCCCACGGGCTGGTCCGTGCATCCTGCCCATTGTCCGAGATGGCAAGAAAGTCAGTAACACCCACTACTATCTGCTGCCTGAACGTCCACCATACCTGGAGCGTTACCAGCGCTTCCTGCGTGAGGCCCAGAGCCCTGAAGAGACAAGCTCCCTGCCTGTGCCACTGTTGCTGCCCCCACCCAGCACCCCGGCTCCTGCCGCCCCCACTGCTACTGTTCGACCGATGCCCCAGGCTGCCCCAGACCCCAAGGCGAACTTCTCCACCAACAACAGCAACCCAGGAATCCGGCCACCAGCTGTGAGGTCCACTGCTCGGCTGTCACTGAGGGGCTGCCCCGGGGATGGGCTAGAGGTTGGACGGCCAGCAGATAAGGTCCAGATGGTGAGTATCAGGCCTGGCTGCCGGGTGAGCAGGGCCGGGAGCCCAAGGGGCCCAGAGGAATGGGCCCAAGTGGTGCTGACGGGTGGGTGGGTGTGCCCAGCTACAGGCCATGGTGCATGGGGTGACCACAGAGGAGTGCCAGGCGGCCCTGCAGAGCCACAGCTGGAGCATACAGAGGGCTGCCCAGTATCTGAAGGTACCATCACCACTCTGGCTTTCAGGGACCCTGAGATGCTTCTGCTGCTCTCACCACCCCCCCAACCCCTTGCCTCTGGCTCTCCTCTGCCCCTTCCTGGTGGGTGCCCCCCTCCCCCGGCCCCCTGTGGCCCATGGTCCTGCCTCTGCTCCTCAGGTGGAGCAGCTCTTTGGGTTGGGTCTGAGGCCGCGAGGCGAGTGTCACAAAGTACTGGAGATGTTTGACTGGAACCTGGAGCAAGCTGGCTGCCACCTTCTGGGCTCCTGTGGCCCCACCTACCAGAAGTGAGTGCGTCCCACACCCTGCCCAAAGAGGGGGCCCGGGCACACCATTCCGGGGGCAACCCGTCACCCGGCCAGCCGAGCACAGCCAGAAGAGGCTCAGCTGGTGGGAGGCCGTGGGAGGGAGGGCAGTCCCCTCAGGGACCAGAACTGGTGGGTGAAAACAGTTCCTCACAAGTGTATTTATTTAGACTTGTTGGCCCCTTGATTCAGATGAACTAATTGGTCAAAGAGGGAGTTTGTTGAACCTTTCTGGTTGAGAGGGTCTCACTCCCCCACCCCCTCCCACAGCACCTGAGTAGTTTAAACAGATATTTCATATTTCACTGTTTAAAGTGACACAAACAGTTTTAATCCTGTCTAAAGGACTAACAAAAAGAAACTACTTTCCTGTAAAATACTATGTATGTATATGTAATAAAATTGGTAGATATATAAATAACGTACAATATCTGGCGCAAATGTATTTTAATTTTTTTACAAAGCCAAAAGGGTGCAGTGTGAAATGGGTAAGTCCCAGGATCATCCAGGAGAGGCGCTGGGGACTGTGGGGGCAGAGACGCAGTCAGAACCGCAGGGGCCATGTCAACTTACACCATTTGTGTTTCTTCACGTAGGTGTCCCTGGCCTCGGGGTCCTCGTCTGTGGGTGTATAAGTGATAGTGCCGTCCTCATAGAAGTGACCAGAAGGATTACTGAGGGTGCATCTGTTGTAACCCACAGCAAGAGTCTGGGCCCTGGGCGCCATCACTGAGTGTTAGCTGTTATCTCCTGATTTTCTTACCAACTGACATCCAGATGAGTTTAGGCTTTCCTGGACTTGTCACCCTTGGATACTTTTTAATACATAATGCTGCTGTTATCCATCTTTTCTTTTTTTGTCTTAGGAAAGTAAAATTCAGGGGGAGACCCTGAATAAATTCTGTAATTACCACCAAGAATTACCAGTTTTCCTGGTATCAGTTTGCCTGGCACCAAGAGGCAGTAATTTCCCATGGCCCCCTGGGGCACATCCTTACCAGACAGTCCGTCTCTTGCCCCAGCTGCTGTTAATGGGTGTGCTTTCTGGTTGTTCCCTGTTGCTTAGGCGCTGAGATGCCTGGATAGGATCGGCCTGAAGGAATCATTTGAGCCTGTCCATCTGACAAGGGCAGGGAGATGTCCTGCCCAGGTCTGGAGGACCTGCTGCCATCTGCTGCTTCCAGTACAGAGCGAGTCAAGGCAGCAGGAGGAGGAGCCCCGCCTTGCCTGTCCCTTCCTCAGCCAGCGCCATCCCTGCAAATCTGGTTCAGCCCTTGGTCCCCTCAGCCAAGGAGCAGGAAGGAGCCGTGTGAAGGCAGGCCTGGGGGCTGCCTCGGCAGGCCCTGTGGCTGACCTGCCTCCGGCCCTAGTTCCTGGTGGGGTCTGTGACTGGAGTGTGTTCCCAGGAGCTACAGCAGGGAAGCCGGGCTTGATGTGGACAGAGAGGGTGTGTTGGCCACATAAAAAGATGGGCCGGCACCCATGGGCTCCCTAGGGCTGGGCTCTTCTCCATGGAGTCCCCGGTGGGCTGTTGGGGTGTTGGACAGACTGTGACTTGTGGCCACACCACGGACATGTTATGGGATATGGCTGGTCTCAGGATGTTGCGCCTGGAAATAGCCTGAGGTGGCTTAGGAGACAGAGCAAGGGTGTCAGATCATTCTCTGGCAGGGACCAGGGCCCAAGGCCCCAGGGTTGAAGGAGACTGAGGGACACCAGTGGCTTCCCTGTGCTGTTCGGTGTTTTCCTACCAGCCTCTGTCGCCAAAGCTGCTACCCCAGCTATGGATACCTGCTTCTTCCAGAGAAATAAAGCTAGTTTTTATTTTATGTTACTTACGTGTACCTGCCTGTTTCTTTGCCTCTCGGTCACCAAGGAGCCGGAGGCCCCCAAGTTCCCAAAGCGCCCAGTCTCATAGCACCCTCTGTGGACAGAGGGAGGAAGTGCTGGCCTGGACATGCTGGCCTGGACCTGCAGAGGCTCAGAGCCCCGCCTGCCTTAATGGAATCTCTGCCACACAGCCCCGCATTTCCCTTGGGGGTGCAGCTGGAGTGGGGGGTGGGGGGTTTCATTTGCAGAGCAGTCTGACGGATGAATTCCCAGAAGTAGAACTCTGAGTCAGAGTATGGACTCTCTGAGCTATAGGGTTCCCTAGGCAACATGTACCACAGGGCCGGGCACAGTAACAGCTGGAGCTAAGCCAGAAAGTTTAGCAACAAGGAAGGCTTCTGCGTGTCTGAGTTTAGTGATTTAATATTTCACATATTCAAGTTTCAAAAGGTACTAAAGAGTATATATTGTCTCCCACTCCCCAGAAGCTGCCTTTATCTTCAGTTTCTTACATGTTTGTCATTTATAGTACTTTGAAAGTTCCCGTGCAGTGCAGAGCGAGTGTCCCCTTGCTTAGTTGCTGGGCGTTTAGATGTCCATCATCCACCTGCTCAAACCTCTTGATGGGAGGACTTGGGAGTGGTTTCCATTCCTTTGTAGTTTTAACCACTGCTGCAATAAATGCTGTGTAGGGTGACCCTTCACTTGTGTGTGTGGGATTTTTCACTCGCAAATCAGCCTGAGGGCTGAGTTCCCAGAAGTAGCTCTCTTGAGTCAGAGTATGTACAGTTATGATGGAGAGGTTGCTCGTTGCCACCCACAAGTGTGTGGGAGCTCTCTGTGCTACAGAGCTCTCAGATTTCTGCTTGCCTTATCAGGTGGGAAATGGTATCTATAGTTTCATTTTGTTTCTAATGGATGAATAAATAAGTTGCACCTTTGATATTTCCTTTTCTTTGAGCTGCTGATTAATGTCCTTGACCCATTGAAAAAGCTAAATTACTCACCTGTTACTGTTTTTGAGGTCGTTATAGGATTGAGGAAATTATTCTTGCTTTTTACGTTATGATCTCTACTTTAGAGCAGCTGTTCCCATAGGCTTATCTAGGGTGAGTCCTATTCTAGAATCAAGCTTTCACTGGCTAAATGTGAAATAATAAGACCCTCCTGCCTCCATCTGAGTGTTCCCTAAAATGAAATGAATTCAAGCATTGTTATCATTCTGGGATTTCTGTGTTCCTGTGTAGTGTTGAAATGGATATTTTTGATGTGATGGCAACGTTAGAAGGTAAATTTGCTCCCCGCCCCCCTTACCCTGTGAAGCAGTGTTTCAGCACAGCTCTCCAGCGGTTGTTACTTGATGACCCTAGAATCCACCTTTTACCCTGAGCCTGCGCTTTTGTGTCAGGCAGCACCACCTACTGGCAACGTGTGACATTGCAGTCTCAGGGAAAGGGAGAGTAAGATTGTGTAGTGTGACCCAATGAATCAAGTCCAGGAATTACTGGCCCAGGCTGATGCTAATGCTTGCTTAAAGTCATTCATCCCAGGAAAGCTGGGAGAGAAGGGAATAGGCCCACCCATTAGCTGAAGGATCTAATTCCGGGAAGAGACTGGGTGGTGGGGGAGAGGCCACCCCAAACCCAAGGAAAGAAGCCAGCAGCTGCTGGGCTACCTGGAATGATGCTGTGGGCCAAGGAAGAGAGTGCAGTCACCCCCAGAGAGAAGTCCTGGGATGACAGCACCCTTTGGGGAACCCTTGCCACCGCTGTATTTTTTTAAGTGTTTATGTGATTTTGATATAAGTCCACGGTTGAATTGGAACTTTCAATTAGAAAATTTAAATTACCCCAAAATCCACTTCGATTCTGATATATTTGCTTCCATTCCCCCCTGCACACACTGCATAGTTTTCGTTCTCTAGAAATGAAATGTAAAAGTTCGATTGAACACGTTCTTTGCTACCATTTGTATTTTATAAAAATTGTTTTAACAAATCTTGCTAAATGGATTTCAGAAAGACTTGTCTCCTTTATTAAACCCAAGCATATACAGCATTAAAGAGAGTAATTCATTCTGAAGGTCGGCCTGAAATTATTTCTGGAAGGATCTGCTGGGAACAGTCTGGATGGCTGAAAGAAATGGGCCACGGGCTGTCCTGGTGGGCAGCTGTGCGGGCTGACTGACGCTGCTGCTTCAGATCATGTGCGAACCTCTCCACGAAAATTCACCCAAACACTCGCACTCCCCAGGGTGACATTCCCACTGGCCCAGCTGTCTTTTCCGAAGTTGGCCCTTTGGAGACTTCTCACTTTGTTCCTGCTGCCGTCAGGAGGGTGCTCAGGTTCACGGCTCTGGCACAGAGAGGACAGACGCCCTTCTCTTGCTGCCCTTTGTGAGTAGAGACGCGTGGTGCTTTGCAAACCACTGAGCCAAACTCTGAGGGAAATATCTCCATCTTGTCATCACCAGCTTTATCACCACCCTAGCTTCACCCTCTATGCTGAGGCTTTGCTACCAGAAAGGTGGCACAAAGTCCAGGACTACCAGCTTCCCCTGGGAAGAGGTCTGATTCTAGACTCTGCTGGAATCAGTTCTGCAAAGATTCTTCCAGGGGTTAGGATCGGGGTGGGGGGAGAAGGAGGGGTTCATGGGCTCAATCTACAGAATGGAAATCCCCGAGCTAAGGCAGTTCTGCTCAAATCCCAAAGAGCAGGTGGGCTTTGGGAGGCCCCGCCTGGCTCCCAGCCCCTGATCCTCTCCAAGCAGGGCCTGTGTCCCCTGCCTCGAGGCCACATCACCCATTCTAACCTCCCCCCCCCACTTTTTTGTTGATGAAACAATGCTTTTGAAAAAATATTCAGGGGCCTCCCTGGTGGCACAAGGGCTTAAGTCTCAGTACTATACTATCCACAGCCACTGCAGCATGAGTTCGATCCCCAGCCAAGGAGCTGACCCACATGGCGCGGCAGACCTCTCCTGACTCACCAACTGCTCCCCTTGTGTTTCAGTCATTCCCCTTATTCTGCACCCCACTCTGTCTCAGGTGAGTCCTCTCACCCCCTGCACCTCTGGCCTGTACCCCAGTTCTTATATGCATAAATAAATAAGTCTTTAAAAAAATATTCAAGGGATTTAGCTGCAACTTTATAATAGTAAACAAGTGAAAACCATGAAAATGCCTGATAAGAGGTTGATTAAATTTACCTAATTTCACCCACAGACTGGGAAACAACACAGCAAATCCAGCATCCTTTCTAAAGTATTCAATTAATTAAAATTTATCTCTGAGTGACATTAAGCCTTTCCAAAATATCCTTCCTCATTTTCTATTTTTCAATTTCTTGTGTAAAATACATATAATATTTTCTCTAATGGCAGCATCTTTTTATGTGCTTGTCAGCCATTTGTATATCTTCTTTGGGGAAATATCGTTTGAATCCTTTGCCCGTTTTTAAAATTGGGTGTCTGGGGTTTTGCTGTGCTAGGAGCCCTTTCGCCAGCCCCTGTGGTCTGCAGCCTCTGCTCCCACTCTGTTCTCACTGGCATTTGCCCTCTTGGTTTCCGCCCTTCCCTCTCCAAGCATGTGTGCTGTTTATAGATTGGATCACCTGTTTGCTTTCGTTGTTTTTGAGTTAGCATTTTAATTTCATTTCCTGCTTTCCTTTTTCCATTCCACTCAGGGCTTCCAGCTCTAAGATCTTAACATGTATTAATTTTTGCTTTTTCCCCCAGTTGGAGATGAATCCTCAGTTTATCAGAATTCTGTTTGTGCCTCCAACTGTGTACAGAGAACTCTGAAGAGAAAGTAAAGCCACCTGTCCCTTCCTGTAGGAGTTTACACATGGGGAGGGGTCTCACAGAGGAGATGCCTCATTGGCCCTCCGAGACCACTATTCAGCAGGGAGTGGTTGTGCCCACCCCACTGTACCCCGCCCCACCCCACCCACAAGCAATTCCGGGGCACTTTCAGGTATCCAAGAGTTCAACTCAACTCTGACACAGTCTACCTGCAGATAGCAACAGATTCTGCAGGGAAAGGCTTAATCTCCCAAGGCAACACTCACTTCTGACACTGGCCACAAGCCTAGGCTGCCAGGTGGGCTTCTGACCAGCCAGCTACAGAGGGAAGCTCCCAGGTCCTTGCTCAGATTTCAGGTGCACATCACCAGCTCAGATTACTGTCTGTGCACCTGATCAGCTGACTATAAATCAGAGATTCCAGACCGGCCACCTCAGGTTCTATTAATCTGCTAGAATAGCACAAGGAATTCGGGAAACTCATGTACTCACTAGATCACCAATTTACTATTCAGGAACAGCCAGATGAAAGAGATGCCTAGGGCAAAGTATGGGGAAAGGTGTGGTGTTTCTATGTCATTCTCCAGAAGTACCATTCTCCCCCAAATCATCACATGGTCCCCAAAACAGATGCTCTAGGAAGCCCACCCGTCTTCTTGTTTTTTTTTTTCATAAATTAATTTATTTATTACTGGGGTACAGGCCAGAAGTGGGGGAGTGGTGAGGGGATCACCAGAGACAGAGTGGGTTGCAGAAAAGGCGGATCTACTGAAATACACTGCTGAGGGGAGCAGCAGGCAGGTCAGGAGAGGTCTGCCATGCCATGTGGTCACTTCCCTGGCCGGGGATCGAACTTGTGCTGCGGTGCCTGTGATAGCTTCATAGTGCTGTGCCTTAACCCGTTACTCCTCCAGGGAGAGCCCTCTGGGTTTTTATGCAGACTATAACACAGACATTGTTGATTAACTCATTGTTCCAGCCTCTGTTCTTATTGGTATCCCTGGCAACCAATTCAGTCTGTCAGAGTTTCCCCCAAATTTACCTTCATTAACATAACAAAAGACACCTTTATCATTCTGACACTTAGGAAATGCCAAGGGTTTGGGGGGAGCTATGAGTCAGGAACTGAGACTGCATTTGAGAAATAGATTTTAGTGTCTGAGTAACCAAGTACATGTTTGCTATAGACCGTATTACCACAAG